GCACCTGGTGGTGTACGGACGATGGTAAGCCGGCAGAAGTATGTCATCCTACATACCTCCGGATCCTGAGTGAAAACTGTTATGTCTTGTGCTTTCAGATTACGCTAGCCGTGTAAATGTGTCGAGTGATGCGAGTGATGCCGGTATTACTCCTTGGTCGATCCCACTGCTGCTGCTAGCAAAGCTGTTGGAGCAGTAGTGGTGATCAAATCTTGTAATTACGTTTCTAGGTGCGAGCGATGTGGGCATCGTCTCACAGCCCTCAGCTGGCCGTGCTGCAATGCAGCATGTCGCGCTAAGCCGCGCAGGGGACAAGACATTGTTCTGCGAATGCAAAGTCAAAAGTCTCTCTCTCTCTCTCTCTCTCCGTCTCGCTTGCTTGCATGTGTGCATGTGCACCCACCCCGGACAGGTAAAGGAGAAGGCCATGCTGGACATTGATGCTTCCATCCATGCTAGGCGGCCGACATTGGCACTCTGGATAGACGCACTTGCACGGGCAATCCTTCTTGTACTTCTCCTGCTGACAGATCTTCAGAAACGTGCATCTGGCGACAAACCGGCCGTGACAGGGCCAGTTCAGATGCATGGGCAGGAGCAGACCTGTTCCCCTCTTGTTCCTCTCATGTTTCGGACTTCTTTCCACATGTGGCATCGAACTCTGGGCTGCTCTTTGGCAGCCATGACCAAGGTGGCTCGACAGAGCCTGCTGACACTAGCCGCATCGGATTGCTAAAAGCCAGGAACGTCCTGATGTCAAGCACGCAGTGCTGTCCCATAGATTGAGGTCAGTATAAGACGAAGAGCCCCAAACCCCGCCGACAGGAGCAGGCCGAGCACCCTTGGAAAGCCAAGCCGCGGCAATGGCACAGCTAACCATCATGTACCTCCGCAGTAGCACAGCATCTACAAGATCAAAGATATGCAACTAATTACACCTTTGGCATGCACTTTCTTGCTGGTCTTCCGTTCTCTGCAACATCACAAGGGCAAGCCTCGTCCAACCTGTAGACACGGACATAGTCGACCTCGAGTACCTCTCTACAGTGACAGGAGCTCGGATTGCTGCTGAGGCGATTCCGGCCTGGTCCCGGCCAAACTCCTCCTTCTTTGTACATGATGGCAACTGGCCATCCAGGCAGAAGCCGGCCCATGGGCCTGCGACCTGGGAGCTGACGAAAACACGTGGGGAACGGCCCCTGTAGCGGGTTTCCGACCGCGACATCAAGATTCAGGAAGAAGTTCTTGTTGAAAGGCCACTCCGCGCCGCTAAAACTGTCCGGCGTGAAGCTGAAGAAACTCACGCCGTCCTGGCTGTGAACTCTTAATCTTGCCATGCATCAAGGTGGAAGCCCCCAGAACACTTGAGCAGCTCACGACATACCACTTCAGCCTGCCAGGTAACCAATCCTGCAAGTCTTGAGAATCCAAACAGCATCTGATAAAGTACAGCTAGCCATGTCGACTTGTAAGCAAAGTCTGCAGAGTGGCGAGGGTGTAGACATGCCAGTTGGAGACAGTGGTGTAGAAGTGATGTCCCTTCCTCGTGCATGCTGGGCCCGAGTGTTCAAAGCCCGCTATGCTACACGAAGACTAAGAACATCCCAAGATAAGATGCTGCAACTTGTTGCCAGCATTGAAAGCACCTCGCGTAGTCATGACATGGCTCTCACACCCGTCTCCGTACGTTTGCAGGCTTGAGTCTGAGAGGTGCACCCGTTTGCACTGCAGCCTGCACCTTCAATTTCATGCTAGAGGCGAGAGCTTGTTGAATGCCTCCGTGGCTTTTGATTGACACCGGATGCTTCCGTGCCTTGTCGCTGATGCAGCCCGTGGTTTCCATAATGCCAATTTCACCACCATGTTCTGTTCCATGATGACCTGCAGCATGCGCATGGGAAGTGACACCAGCAGGGCCTCCTCGACACCTTGGGATGGGAGCATCCACACAGCAGGCCAAGCACCGCGGCCAGCTGGGGCACGAGCCTGAAGCTCTGATCCCGTGTGACGTGGCATGAGTCCTTTGCACAACCTTTGAGCACACCACCCGCAGCTCGATGCGATGACCCGGGCCCCATTCACGAAGTCTGTCGGTGGTCAGCCTGCACAGCTTGCGTTGTCGTGAAGTCGTGCTGAGGCAAGCCCACCTGGCAGAGGAGTAGTTCCAGCGGCCCATATCCTGCTCTAGCCAGGCCCACTTTTGGTTTGGGCTTCTGCTACTCTTCATCTCCGGCCTCGCACTTCGCCACGATCTTCAATGAGCCGTTTTGCACGAAAGCATTGTCCCTGCAAGCTTCGAGCATGCCCCCACATACTGCAAAAGCAGCTACGCATCCCCGCCCAACGCCCTTAAGCAGGCACCTTCGGCTGGTGTACTTCATAGATGGAACTCCCCCCTCCGCTTCAAGCAGAACCTGAGCTTCGACTCTGAAAGGCGACTTCTAGCCGGAGCATCCACGAGAAAGCGCTGAAACAACGTTCAGAAACCCAGCTCGCGCTGTCGATCTCGGCACCTTCAAACTCCTGCGTCAGCGCAGAACTCCATCACAGGCATCGGATCCAAGAGTGCCGGGCTCATGATGAAGCTGGGGGCCCAGCATCGGACCAGTCCAATGCCCCAACCTTCACCGCATCTGCTGGAAGCGCTTCGCAAGCCTGATAGTAAAGCTTGTTCTGCAACTCGTGGCCTCAGTGCATCATGCGGTCGGAGCTCACGTCGACTCTCGGCATTTTCGTGTTTCAGTGAAGAAATACCCGCACGGTGTCGAAGAAGCTGCATTAACAAGCACGACCACAGAACCAGAACCACGAGTTCAACGCTCCCAGTGCCCAATGCAGATGAGAAGCACTTCCCACTCCTCGGCCGTATTTTCTGGTTCCGCCGGGAATCCGGGAGTGAATCTAGCCCGAAGTATACATAACTAATCAAAACCCTTGTGCGAGAGCTTTAAGCCTTGGGAACCATTTCGCCACGCTGTCGCCCCGACCCTTGAAAGCAAGTGCCTGGCCAGGATTCAAAGGAGAGCACCAGCCACGACTACCACACCGAGCGCAGCAGCTCGGCCACTTGTCCTCCTGGCGAACTCTGTCGACGAAAGTGCCCTAAGCCGTACCGCTCTTTTGTTACTCTGCTACTGCTGCTATTGCTAATGCTACTGCTGCTGCTGCTATTGCCGCTGCTACTGCGGCGGTGGCTGCCGCAGTTGTTCCTTCTCCTACTCCTACTCCTACTACTACTACTACTCCTCATCCTCCTCCTCCTCCTCCTGCTCCGTCTGCTGCTGCTTGCAGTTGCAACCGCAACGGCAACTACACTATCACCACCACGATTACCACAACCACCACTCGTACACGGGTGGCACGAGTTGCGGTGGTCGTTCTGGTCCTCGTCGTGCAGCGGCAGTGGCACTCTAGGTTGTAGAGTGGTGGTGGTAGCGGCAGAAGCTCCGAAGGAGCATCCGCAGTATCGTGGGCAACAGAAGACGCGACCGCAGAATAGCAGCACTGCTCACACTAAATCGAGACGAATACTGAGCATGAAGTCGTACAAAAAATGAACTACGGTGATGCGTGGTGGTGGTATCCGACCTACAAAGCTTTCGCATCTCTTGCCATTCCACCTGGTGTGTCGTGTTGCTCTCGGCGCGTCGCAGCTTCGGCTTCAGCTGCATCCTGGTCTCTGGGTGTAGATCGATGTCAGCATCATACAAACCTATTCAGAGACTTGGTTGGCTATACGGCTATTTTACTTCCATCAGCCCAGGCGCAGCAAGACACCTGAATCCTTGCGCCCCTTCGGGCAGGTTCCTCAGAGCTCATGCCGCAGGGCGGTTGCAACCGGATGACTCGACGACTTGGGATGCTGCCATCGGCACACTGTGACGATGGCTGGGAAGTCTGCGCAATGCCTCACACTGCATAGAGCTGGCATCGAAAGGGCTGATGCGGCATTGAGTCTGCAGGCCAAGGAGCTTATGAGGCTCAAGTACGAGAGAACCAAACCTGGGCTGGGGATGCAACCGCCAAAACTATCTTCCGTCCCGGATGCCAGGCTGGCAACAGAGCCGACAGCGCCGTACATCTCCTTCTGTTGGCCAGGCCATTCCTAAGCTTTAACATCTATGTGCAGGTAGGCCAGGAGGCACGGCACTTGGCAGGACTGCAACAAGGAGCCTGGCTCGACTGCAGCTCGAGAGGCATGCAAACCCAGCTGAGACGTTGCTCTGCCGGCTTTGGGCCAGCGCGGCGTCAGTTGCACAACAAGTCTCGCCACACTGCGCATCATCACTATGCATCGGCAGGGGGGGCAGTTCGACGTCCAACGGTCCTCGAGAGGCACACAGAGACTCTTGGCGCCCATCTTCAGACCGCCAGCCACCTCAACTTCTGCTGCCTCGAGTAGTTTCGAAAGTGGCTTGCTTTGAAACGCGACTCCCCCGTCAAATTGTGCCTCCTCCTTGGACTTGTCCTTTCAGGTGAGAAGTCTGTCAGGACCGCTCAGAAAACAGAAGCTCAACTGGCACCGCATACTGCCGCGCGTGGATGCGATGCGCCAACGCAGTCCTTCATTCGTTCCTCACACTCCTTTACGCCACAGAAAGGTACCATGACCATCTTGCCTTCATTCAAATTCGGACTGAAGTCCTGCCGCAGCAGGCAACGCTCGAAGGGCGCTGGCTGCTTTCAACATGGAACACTCTCTACAACAAAGGTTCATTCGCTGAAGCAGTATCTGCGCACTTTGCCGCTTTGCAGGAAGCGATCCTTCCACTCGGTAATTGTTGCCAAACGGCTATCCCGTTCGGCCAGGGCTTTGGAATAAAGCTCGTTGTGTATCTCATCCAGTGTTCCTTAGCCAGACATTCATCGCCCCCAACCATTTAGATCATGTTCAATAACAGCGAGCCCATGAGAACATCTGGCCCAGCTGCTCTTCACATCATCTTCGAGGGAGTCGTGCTTGCCGATAACCTTACCTGCCTGGGCTCTTTAAGTTGAGGCACACGTTCACGTAGCAGCCAATCCATGATTTTACTCGGGCCTTTTGATCCAGAATGTTTCTTTTTGCCAGCACGAACTCACCTGAAGCAGACTTTCGAAATGTGGACGTCAGACAAGTGTATCAGCCTGCAACCCCGCCCATTGATCGCCTTTCTGAATGTCGAGCGGGCCCAACTCCATCCTCAAAGGCACCCCCTTCATCTCCCAGTTGTTGAACTTCCATCCAGGTGAATTGGTGTTATCCTGAGAGCAGGGGTGGCAGAGGATGGCTGCACGCCGTCTTGCACACGCTGAGGCTAGAACGTCATCTAGGAACACGCGAACTCCGGCCGCCCTCAGCCTCCTGGTGTAAGCCTGAGAGACCTGGAGCACGGCTCAGGCTGTATGTCAATGCCTGTGAACTCTCAACCAACTCAGGTCCAGAAAGCAGTCCTAATTCACGTCACTTCACATGCCGCCGGGGCACCTCAGCCAAGGACTTCTTGTCCTCCTCTGTGCTGCTGGCCTTGATACCCAGCGGCACAATGACGACCTGCCAAACTTCCACTCAGCACATGCTTAGAACTGATCGTGTCGCTGTCGCTCTCAAGTGAAGCCTCCAACACGAAGGCTCTAAACTGAGTGTAGGTTCCTCCTGGACCTCTTCCCCGTTGGGGGGCAATTGTCAAGCTCCGAGGTCGGAGCAAGGCTGTGGAGAACTTCCCTTTCCTTCTAAGGCCGCGGAGTGACTCCCGCGGACCCTGCCCTTCCGCCTCGGGCCGTGAGCTCGGCACCTAAGCCCCTGGAAGATGCGAAGATGCTGACATCCCTCTTTCTCCACCAGGACGGAGGAGGCGGTCCGAGACTTCCCTCTCTCTCTCTCACTCGGAGACAGCTGAAGCCTGGTATCCAGCCACGTTCGGTGGAAGCACGAGCCCTTTGTCGTCGCCATGAACCATCACCTTGGGCCACATAACCAACCAAGAAGCAATAAGTTCCAAAAGACTTGCACGGCACCGAAGCAAGCCCCCGGCCATCACTCCGATGGTTCGCTGGGTGAGGCCCCAGGAGTTTTGGTACGCATACTCAATCGCAGCGCCTGTGGGATCCTTCGGATCCTGGTGGGGCAGCACATAGGCAAAGAGTGGCGAAGAGTGTCACACGTATGCCGCTGGAGGCTGGGGCCTGAAATTGGATGTTGAACATCTTCGAGAAGTTCTGGCCTCAACAAGCGACTGAAATCCCAACATGCAGTGGCACTGCAAGCGGTTGCGCCTAAGTGGTGTGAGGTCGCCTTGGCAGCGGAAACTCAAATCCAAAAACACCGCGGTCATGATGGCATGACATGACATTACCCATTGACCATCTTGGTCCAGCTACGCCCTGGATTGCACGGCCCGTGGCTGGAATAAACGCCTGCCGGCTGGGCAGCAGCGGAAGTGGAGAGGGCCGCATGTGCCCCCGTCGCTGCCTCTACCGTCGTTGTGTAGTCAGCGCCGGGGAAGGTCTCAGCCTGAAAGCATATGTGTCATATGTGGATACAGTGCGCCGGCCAGCTCCGGCCAGCCGCACAGAGGAGCAAGGCCTTCGTTTTCGTCCCGCGCACTACGGGGATGGCCAAAAGCTCCTCGCCGCATCTCGGGACCCTTGTACCATCCCAACGCACAACCGAATTGTCGAGTAGCCAGTCAGCTCCGCGTGCACCCTTTTTCTGTGGGCCTCGTAGACACGAGCATAGAGTTCTAAGATATCCAAGACCTCCTTCTCTGCATCGGCCTGGCACGACTTACAATCCCGACTGCTCTTTTCTTTTCAGCCGCTAACCATCACCGGATGCTCTGCCACCTGGCCTTCTCTGCATACGCAGTGTGGCCCTCTTGCCATAAGAACTCACGTGTTCGCAGAAACGGGGTAGTCTGCTTAACTTCCCATCGGACGACACTGCACCACCTGGGTAGCATGCAGCGAAAGAACTTCAACCAGTGCTGCTCCTATATTATATTCAGTGTTCGCAAAGCTGTGCGGCTGAGCCACTGGTTTAGCTTGAGGGGCAAATCCCTGTGTGACTGCACCCAGCTCGAAAATGCCGCGTACATGGCGGTCTCGCTCGTCGGCCTGACTCCATGCTTGCACAGGCTTGCCAATGCACTTATGCAACTATATGTACTGCGCAAGCCTTGCCTAATCGCAACCGGCTCGTCAATTTCCTGATGCGGAAGATGCACGATTCTAACTCTCGCAACAAGGGTCCTGCACTCATCCGCACTCTAGATCACCAGTGATATCGATATATCGATGCGTTGGGAACCCGAGTTCGGAAACTGACCCCTGGCCTCATTGCCGAACTTGGTGACCATCGCCAGCTCCGGTGCAAAGTCATCCAAGTGGTCACTCTCCTTCTCCATGTAACACTTCGGAATGAACCTGGATTTGCGCAGCCTTCTCGAATGCTTTCCGGCATCCCCCTTCTGAGGCCCTTGCATGGGGAAGTAGCAGTTCTCGACCTGGTCGTCACACCAGAAGCTAACCTGTAGCCTCTGCCTGCTGAGTTCAATGTTTTAACCAAGGCTCTCCCAGGATCTTGATTTGTGTGTCCAGCCACCCCTGACACCAGAAATCATAAGAATATTCTTTAGCCAGCTGTGAAATTCTGCGACGCTGCCTGTATCTGCTCCCACAACTTGTAAGCCCACGGGCGGAGAATGAAGCAGCCTTTGACCTCAAAGGATGGCAGCAGATAGTAATGGTAATGACAGTACTGATAGTAAGATTGAAGATACTAGTAACACTAGTAAGAACAGTACCAATAGTATTAATAGCAATAATCGTAGTAGATAGTAATAACGGCAACAAAAGCAACAACAACTATAGTAATTGTAGCAATAGTACTGGCAACAGAAATGCTAACATCCGTCGCAGGCTCTCACAAGATCGGCTGAGATTCTGGCTGGGTACTTTTCAATCAGCTGCCCCTTGCCGATGACCTGCCAAATCTTCACATGCACACGAGCCCGGAGCTCCGAGGCCTCAAGTTCTGCCGCTCTACGTGCTTAGGGCTTAGGAATGCGGTCAGAAGGCAACGATGGAAGCGACAGTCCAAGCTAGAAGAACTTGGGGGTAAGGAAAGAGAGGATGGCAGAGTCTGGTACCACACCGGGAGCAGGAAGAATTCCATTTAAAATCATTTTCGCCGGATGTACACACGGACCCGGAGCCCATTCTCTGACCGAACTCATCGCGCGATCAAGGAGGACATGCTGGGGCTTCATCTGAGTCTGCCTGTTTTATGGCTTCACCCCGACAGGTTTCCCGACTCTTCGTGATCTCATTTCGGACTCCTATTGGCGTGTTTCTCGGACCATGGCTACTCGGCTACTCACTTCCCTCACGGATCAACTCCGTCAGCATGGCGAATAACAGCTTGCCTCCGCGTACCAGTCGGGAACGCTTTCTGCCTTCTTTACGACCAAGCCGCCACCCTTGGACTGCTGCTTGGAAGCTGCCTTGGGAATAGACCGATGTCTTGTGATTGGTGTCGATATCCTTAGATCCTTCTTTGCATGCAAACCGCCTCCTTCTTTGGTGCAGCTTGCTTGGCTTCCTTCTTTGCTGCAGGCTTCTTGCCCTGTGCAAGGCGGATGGCTGCCTTCTGCTCAACTGCCCTGAACCGCACCATGACCGACATGGCTCGGCAGACTTACTGACTGCATTAAGGATGGTGTTGCCTCTGCCGCTTTGGCTTTGGCGGCTTTCTCTTCCTTCCCCTCCTTCTTCACCTCATCGCCTGGAGTGCTGGCTGCAACAAAGGCTGAGTGCTTTCGACGAGTGCAGCTTTCGACTCTCACTCTCGAACACGGCTGGCAAGGCTCCACTCTTTAGTAACTCACGGTGTGTGGGCAGCGGGTGCCGTGTGCACACTTGCCAGCATTGCAATTAGTGCTGTGACGGATTTGCATGTGAGACAATGACGCAATGTTCAATTCCGCGGGTGTAAACAGCAGAAGGGCATCCCCTGCTTAACAGTCCAGCCTGAGTACCGAGTACCCTCATCCAGGCCGTGTCATGGTGCAGCTACGTGTAAGAAGCTGCTCGTGTGGCATCAAACTCCCCGAGCCTTGAGGCGCATATCCTTCCATCTTCCACAAAGCGAAAGGCTCCTAAAAAAACACCAAAGCTGCCGCAGCTTTGAGCCCACACAGATGCGGCGGCTACAAATTCGCGGCCACCAGACTGTGACCGACGAGGTAGGGCTCTCTTGCCACATCAGGTAACTGTACCACCTGGACTGGGCGCCGGCAACAAGAGCTTAATCAATCATGGATCTCGATTCATCATCGAGCCTGCAAGCCGCCTGTCTCTCTGCCATGACACTAAAGACCACGTATGTCAAGAGCAACTGCCGCAAGACCTTGCCGCGACCAAGAGATTGCCAATAGCAGGCAAAAACCCTTGCACGATTAGAGTTGGAACTACACCGTGTAGAACTTTGTTTGGACCGGTTGCCGCTAGCTCCTGAGAATGAGCGTTCGTCAACATATGCTGACAAGGTTGTTCTTGCAAGTTAAGTCTAGTTAAGCTGTGCAGAAACACCAATGAACGTTGTGTCGCCTTTTGCCTTCTGAAATCTCGACTTCCTCCGCTTAGGGCCTCATAGAGTGCACAGCCAGACTCACCGCTGATTTTTTGTTTGGGGCATCGGCCTGCGGGGTAATAACCTACAACTACTAACTATGTAATCTTATCTCATTACCTGGCCAGTTTTGTAGTTGCCAGGGAGAGACAGGATCATCGCACCCTCGTCAAGATCCAAGATGTCTAACCACGCTGTTGCTGCAGGAACTACACGCCGGGTGGCCGCAACCAGGCTGCTTCCCGAAGTGTTGAGATCTTTGAGGAGGGCACAGTCTCTATATATGTCCATATGCACAATGCGGCAGCATCACACAGCCGCAGCTGCCTGGAGGTCGGCGGACACTGCCTCCGGAAGCACACCGAAATCCCGAAATCCTATAAAGAGGCAGCGAATGCCGTCGTTATCGCTCATATTGGATAGTGCCACCATGAAATGTTCTACTTGCCAGGCCTCCCAAACGTCGGACCCAGCGCCTTGAGCGCACTCCGCCACACCGGGATCGAAGTGGTGGATCAGCACCTGGTTGCATTCCCCACAGGCTGAGTCGACATCACAGCAACCGCAGGGAACATTGAATCTGGACACAAAAAAGCCAACTGCCCAAAGTGGCTCAAGCCTCTGGGGGAGAGTCTCCTAGCATCTGCAAGGCTGCAGCCTTGGAGACGTCCGCAGCGGCTCAGGAGTCAAAGCCCGATAAACAAGACCGCCACTGAGTGCCAGACTGCAGCCTGCGAGTCATCACCCCGCTTTCGTCTTTCAAGCTCCAGCCTAAAGATACAGCGTCATCGCACTCAATAGGCAGCCTGGACAGCCACATAGATCGAAGGCTGGCAGCATACAGACAGAGCAGCACTTAGACTTGTCTGTGCAGCCAACCAGTGCAACAGTGTGCAACTAGTCCGAGAACAGCCGAACACGACTCACTCGGCCTGAGCAACTAACTTGAGAGCTGGGCTACGAAAGCTAGAGCAAGGAGCAGACAAGCAGGTTATTTTCGACGAATCAATGCACTGCATGAAACCCTCGAAGGGGGGGCGAGGGGGTCCTGCCAGGGCGTGGAGGCGGGGGAGCACATCCCTAAAGATTGCTTAACACAATATTACAGGAGAGGGGGGTGGCTCCCCTGGCCACCACGCAGTCCGTTAACTAATTGATTTTCATACCACTTACGCCCCGGATCGCTTGTTGACCCACCTGAAGAAGTTTGTAAACGACAACTCCCGCAAGCTCCAAAGAGCTAGGTTTCGTGATTACAAGTCTACGTCGGTGCAGCTATGACAAAAGGAAGCTTCTCTGAGTGCGGAGCTCCCGTCTCCTCAGCTCACTTGCACGAGCATAGTCCTGCTTGCAGGGGCGATCGTCTACATGCGCTCCATGATGTGGTGCACACTCAGGCTTCCGTGACCCAGGCCTCCAGCTCAACGGCCTCCTGTTTCTGGCGCTTGACCGTCTGTAGTTCCTGCCGACATGCTCTCGTTCGCACGTCATGGGCCGAACGGGGCGGGGTATGTCCTCCTCCTCCTGATTCCTCAGTCTCTTCCGCTCTTCTGTGTCGGCCTCTGCGACAGGGCCGAGTCCAACTCGACGAGCATGTGTCCCCGAACGCCTCTTCGTTCGCGGCGGGTGCATCCTTGCAAGCCTGCGCAGAGCCAACAACGTCGCAACGTCTGGCACCATGCAGTTGCTGAGGAACTGGCCAGGCACGATTGCCGAGCGGCTGTAAGCCGCAAGGTGGCAGCAGGCTCCCGCCTCAAGGCAGGATGGGAAAAGTTAGCTGCGCGGTCTTTTTTTCCCACCCGCCCAGCTTTAGAACCCGAGATTGATCATCACCCGCTGTTGAGGCCACGGCTGCTTCAAGCGGTGTGCCAGATCAAAGTCTTCCATTTCCACCGCCTGCCAGCAGCACGAGCAACACGAGAAGGTCTGTGCCAAACACAAGCGCAGCCGCCTTGCGCTTTCGGCATTGAAGAAGCGAGACTTCAATCATCCGAAGCGACCTCGGGCAGAATCCATAGCGGTTCAACAGCGGCGACTGCTACATACCTTCCCAGAATATCCACGAGGGCCCATCCATTTGCGGAGAGCTTCTACGCCGCCCTGCTATGCGCGTAGCCCTCTGATTGGCTCAAGACTCTCCCAGAAAGCTCCATGCCCTGCCTCCGCAGCCGCTTCGTCTTTCACCTCTCCTGCATCGCCCAGCCTGAAGCTTCAGCGGCTGGAACCGAAGTCAGACTCAGCTGTTGTCCCAGCTGCGATTCTCCTGCTTAGATCACTGCTCTGCTTTTCTGCGCTTTGCTTCAGACTCGGATACAGCGACAATGACCTCACAACTGGTGTTGCCAAGTGCTGGGATTCAGCAGGAATGAAGCAGAGGGTGCTGAAGCTGCGACGCCCTCAGTGTAAGCGGAAGGTGGCACGGGCGGGAAGACGGGCTTGTCCTCTTTGCCAACGTGTGCATTCGCAAGACGGCCATCCAAATTGGCCTGTGTGACCAAACGAGCCTCGGTCGCTTCGCTTGCGACCCCTTCCTTTGGAAGTCAGACACTTCGAGGCAGCGCACCGGCGCGGCACACGAGCCGACGGCTGAGGCTGAGGCTGCGCTCATCTGGAGGAAGTCGAAACTATCAGGCCCAGGCGCACCGGCAGCCTCTGCTACGAGCACCCATTGCATTCAGGGTGAAACGCCACATGATCCCCGCCTGCGAATGCGGCAGGCTGAGGCGGCTCAGGATTTCCTCTGCCTCTGAGAGTCGACGAGGGTCCACGCCTTGCAATCAGAAAAGAGGGGGCCCCAGGGCCAGGGCTGCCTCTGCGGCATCTGGGCTTCCGGCCAGCTTGCTGTGCCTCGTCGTATGCTGCCCGATACGTGGCCTCGTCTTCCTGCCCGCAAGGATGCATCTCGGTCCCTCGAAGAAGGTGAGTCAACCAGCCTCTTGCACCACACCCGCGAGCTCCAGCGCTGCAACTAAAACCTCGCTTGGCACAAGCTGCACTCAGACAGGTACAAAGCTCGATTGAATGGGCTCTTGGAGATGCGAGATGATTCGATGACAAGTGAAACTCCCAGCGAACCAGCAATTGCATGATTCGGACATATGTACAGAAACAGCCTCACCCGGCATCTTTCGCCATGGACTCGAGACTCTAGGTGTGCACGTCGGGTGGCACTTTGGCAAACAGCCCTTCAATCCAGCTCGAAACCGGCATCCTCGCGCAAAACGCCATTATGCTCAGCATCTCCGAGCAATTCACTGACTTCCGCCCGAGTGCTGCAAACAGGCAACCCGGTCGTCGAAAGCCAGACGCATACGAGAAGCAAGCCAAAAGGACGCGACTTTGACTCTTCACAATACTTTAGAGTGACTTGCGAAGCTACAATGGACTCTCAAAGGCTGAGGCTTCTGTCCTGGACTACAACGAACTCCAGCTTCTGCTTCATGACTTTCCACCTCTCAAAGAGCATCCCTGCATTGAGGAGCATCAAGATGCACAGAAAGCCGATGCCGAGTCATTCACGAGGAGTAGGTGGGCAACTTCAGCGTGTTGAAGCCTTAATGTACTGGCGATGCCTCTACTGTGCCATGATGCGATGATGCGTCGACCAAGGCCTAGTCTGGCTGGATGCCCATGCAGCATCAGCATCGGAGCTGAACACCGCTGACCATTGGCTGACCGTGTGTTTGTGAGGCACGTCAGAAAGAGCAACATCAGTGTCATGCAGGCCAAGCCACATGTTGAAGCCGTCGGCAACTTTTCACCATCACTGCGGACATGCACCTGCGCACCAGTCTGCCATGTTCTAAACTTGTGTCCCTTTGATTGACTTAGGCAGGCTCGGCACTTGCTCGGCAGGCTTGCTACATGCTGGACAGCACAGCACGACTTTGTACTGCGCATTACGAACAGGCAAATTCCGAGCAGGTGCTATCAGCACATCGTCGTAGATGGTATGCTCGCGGCAGAAACACGCGAGTGAAGTCGTGCCGCTGCCAGTCAACCCAGGAAAAGATGGTGGCACAAGGGCTGCGTCATTTGGGGCTTGGGCAGCAGTCTGAGGAACCCTATGCTGGGCCTCTCTGGGTCCAAGAGTGCAAGAGAACTCTTGGCTATTTCTGTCCGTGCGCTCAGCTCACAGTCTGGCTTCCGCGTAGGTCTTTGGCGTCGTCTTCTGCTTGGCGAGAATCGTCTCTCCTTCGCCGTCCTGAGCAGATAGGTCCTTAGTGAGCCACCACGCACCGAGGAGCCGAGTGGTGCCGAGTCAACTCGCGAGGAGCAGGCACAGAAGTGTAAGAAGGAGTAGAGAGCAGCACCTCAGCGCGCCAGTACAGTTGCCATGTATGGAAAGGGTACAAAACCCAACTTCAAAATATAGGCCCGCAGCAGAGCATCCAGGGGAAGACTGTGCTTATGAACCTCTGCTTTGGCCAGATGCAGCAAGGCTCTGCATTTATCTGTGCAGAATCTAGACTACAGGCAAGCCACAGCCCCTTGCCAAGCGCAGTAGCATTGGCAATCCTGTCGGCAGAGGGCATGTCTGCAATCGGCATCTCCTGCCATGGCAAAGCACTTGGTGCTGGAAGTCTTTAAGCACTGCGACGCTCGGAAGAAAGGTCGTGACCTCCATCCCGTCCTGAGTTTTGTACTTCATCGCGTGGGTCGCAAGCAAGGAGACGCTAAGCGGCCCGATCGTTTGACCACTGAGAGACTCCTTTGTTGTCGGGCCCGGCACCGCAGATGCACAGCCCATGCTGCCCTACACGATGACTGCCGATGAAGAAAGGTTCGAGACTGTACTCCCAGGCCATGACAGACGCCTGGGGATCAAGGCTGGCACTTGTGGGAATCCGCCTCCATGCAATCCTGCCTTGCTGCCCGACGGGACGATGCGAGCCAGCAGGGGTTGATTGCAGCCTGAGGCTGCCCAGTGCGCCAAAAGCCCTGAGACAAAGTTGATGGTAGCGAAGTGCCAGAACCTCAGGGCAATGCCGAATGGCCAACGGCAGCACAAGAACCGAGAAATGCATGTGGTCCGACGTCAGGAGTGTGTCTAACCACGGCACATGTCAGGAGAGACCGGGGCGAAGAACATGATGTACATCAGCGGAATGCCCAGCAACACCGAAACTTGCCCGGTGAAGGGTCGTCCGTGTTGCTTGCTCCACCTCTCCAGCCGGTCACCGATGTATCCACCCAAAGGTCCACCAAACATTGTGCCCACAACCTGTAGCGACAGCTGTGCAGAGGACTATCGCTCCGGTTCCTTGCAGCTTCACGTTCAGTGGAATGCTTTGCTTCTCGTAATGAGCAACTTCCCCGGCTGCGTTCCTGTGGACGATTTCAGTGCCAAGGAACACACATGCTGGCCGCAATGGCCACCCTCGTATCGGACAGCCCGCTGTACCTCACGTGTTCGGGATGACATGGTCATCTGTTTTCTTTCATGCGAGGTCGGATCCAAGGACTGATTGAACGGCCAGGGCACTGCATAAAGAGAAGTTGAAAGGACAGCGCTGCATTGGGGATCGTACCAACAAGTCCTCGGAAAACCACCGTACACACATGCCTTGTCTTGCAGGGGAAGCGAGGCAAGTCACCTTGGCATAACACAACGCAGAAAGTCGGCTTCCCCAGGTAGCCTGCAAACTTCTTGCATTCCTGCCGAAACAGCTAAAAGGCAGCTGCAGACAATGATTTGTAAGATACACTGTATCCCGCTTTTGACACAGCGTTCAGCTTCCTCCAGCAGGTCAACCTTGTGTCGAGGAGTGGCAGCTGATGGCGCGTGGAAGAACAGATGAAATGCCTCATGGCCGAAGAGGAGCCGCACCAAAAAAAGATACCACAGTCCTAGCATCTAGTTGTATCCTGTCTCGTCCAGGCAGCGACAGCAATGGTCAAGGAAAGGCATGCAGTGATCGCGAGAGCTGCACGCCAGCCAGGAACTCCAAGCACGACTTCCTCCCGGCGACTCGGACTGATGGGTCTTTGTGAATTGCTAGGTTCGCCCTGGAGGCTCGCCTCGGCCAAGGGCGCGGCAATCGCGAGGGCGATAATCTTCCCAAGCCCCATTGATGCAGCGAGGAGGCCAAAGTAACTGCCCATAAATTCTGGCCGCACGTGCGTCGCAATCCTCTGTCACGCACACGTACGGAGACAAACAACTACCTACCCAACATCCTGCATCGACTTGTAAACGTTGCTAGCAGTTCATGCTGTCAGAGACTCGCAACAGGAAATAACAACTCGTGGATGTTATCAGTGATGGCCATTGCTGGCAGACTTCCTCTTTCCTGTACTAACTGCCACTATCTGCTACCAGACAGTATGTTCGGTGGTCGGCTGGTCTAGCTGGGAGCAATAATCAATATGCAGAGCTTCACGAATCAGTTATGCTGCCCCTGGGAGAACTACAATAATTACAACTGCGACTGCCGTCTTCATTCTATTCGCGGTTATGCCACTCTCGCCATCGAACCGAAATCACCGCAACCCCGACTCCGAAGCACCCTTGCAGGTAAGGCTCTCTAAATCAAGTGGAACGATAGTACATGCCCAATGAGTTCTTATGCCAGTCCAGGAAAACTACACAAAAATCCACATGCACAGAAATAACGTGTGGCTTGAGGCGCTGAGACTGCACCACTGGCAGCACCATGCCAAGGCAAAGGCCGTTGAAGACCCTGAAGGCACAGATCATAGCCACGGACTCGCTGCACGCCAGAATGCAGTTGGCGACGGCCCATCCAAGAACTCCGCTGCAAACCACCTTATGCTCTGGAGCCGCTACTATGCCGCAGCAATAACGAATCAGAAAATCATCACAGTAGTCGTCGTCGGGTAGTGGTAGTGGTCGTCGAGTCGTCGTCGTAATTGTAGTTTTATCACCCACATGGCACGCTCGTAGTGGCAGAAGTGGTAGTAGTAGTCGTAGTAGCCGCAGTCGCACTACTACTACTACTACTACTACTACTACTACTACTACTCCTGCTGCTGCTGCTGCTGCTGCTGCTGCTGCTGCTGCTGCTGCTCTCTCTCTCTCTCGAAGCGCAAACATCCGAAGACGTCTTTGCGTAGCCCCTTTGGGCGACCTAGGAGGCCGGCTATCTCTGTGGACAGCTAAACCAGGGCAGCGAACTATATGCGCCAAAGCTTTAAGCTGCAGCAACATTCATTAACATTGGTAGGGGAGACTCACCCGGACCGTTAGTCCCTTTGAGCAGTGAGCTCCTGCGACTGTACAACGACGAAGCGGTATGTATACCGGACGTTTCGCAACTACCAGAATCCATCAGGTGGCCCGATAGGCCCTTTTTCAGCAGTAAGAAAAATATCTCAGACACATTGCTCACTTCAAGATTTGCAGCACCATTTTGCATTGGCAGCATCCCAACGGCGATGCCCAGCGACGTGATCGCAAGCATTTTGTACCTTCCGCAGCGGATGATCATTCTGTGCAGACTTGTTTGCGCTTCAGCCACTTGCAGACAAAAATGATGAGTCCACAAGATAGGTAGCAGCCATGTAAGGTCAG